CTGGGGTGCACTGACAGAGGCGAGGCTGCCAGACACTGGCACCACCGGGCCCACCACTAGTAGGCAACAGGTGAAGTGTCTTGCCCAAGGACACAACAACCGAGACTGTCAGAGCCGGGACTTGAACCGGCAACCTTCCGATTACACGACGAACTGCCAACTCTTGAGCCACGATCGCCCCATTGTTCACATTTTTGAACAATGGTGACTTCCTGGTGATTGTACTGAGGGCGAGGCCCACTTATGGTCAATTTTGATAGCAAGGGATTGCACAGATCGCCTGATGGGAGGCAACCTTTCAGCAAACAGTTGCACTCAGACTTGGAAAGACTGCAATCACTCAGAGAAACTGTTGCATGTTGACCGATAATTGCTATCTAATTTATGAATACAGATGGCTTGCCAACATGTTGCCATCAATCTGAATGAGTCTGTCAATGAGGACAACTCGAGAGGATTCGACTCAACTAGCTGCCTGCTGGTTGTATTCTGGTTATATTTCTGTACAGCAGGAAGGTTGCTGTGAAGTTCTGTTAAATGTCATTTTCTTTGTAGACAGCAGCAGTGTGATTTTTGATAATTTATCACAGTGAATTGCTGTATTATCAGAAACAGATTGCATGTAATTGCCAACTTCACCCTATTCACTCTCAGATTGATAGCACCAGCCATAAGTGATGGCATAACATTTATAGCAGGTTTTACAGAGTTGCCATGTTTGACAGTCAAGATAACTTTATCTTATCAGATAAAACAGATACTGACAAAGTTGAACTGTGACGACCTTGAAAAAAGGAGATAAACTGTGATAGATGTGCAATACTCATCATAAATGGAAAAACACAATAATATTGTCTTGTGAGTGAGGTATTATGATAATATCGTATTGTGGGGTGTCTGGTGATTTCTGCCTCAACTAGCCTGGTTAGCAAAGTACATCCATGACTCTTTGGATGAATCTATACTCCATAACACACAAATAGTATAGGAGTATTTCCCTCTTAAAAATGGAGCACAGGCTTCTCGGACAGTCTACTGATCCAATTAGCAGCAAGAATATTCTTATTATTGTTATATATAAAAAAAATTTGTTCAGTTCAAATATTCAGCCACTAGCTGTCTCATTATGCTAATGCCATCTGTTTCTGTGCTTGACTGTTAGTCAAAGTGGCCATCCCCCTAATAATGCAAACCTTTATACTTCATCGAAAAATAAATAAAATAAAATAAAACTGGTTAATTATTCAAAGGTTCAGACTTTGCACAGATTTCATGGATGGAGAAGTTTGCACTTCAGACCAAAACTACATTTTTGCCCCTGTGCTGTAAATTAGCTTATTTTTGCTGTAAAGATGAGCATTTTAACACGGCAGTTTGAAGAATGACTCACAGTCAAATTCAACATGTTCTTGGGACGCCTGGTTTCATAAGACTAAGAGGATGGTGGGAAAAACTGTTGAAAGAGGCTTTGCAAACTAGTCCTGATGCCACAAGTCTCAAGCTAAAGGCAGCGACAGAGATATAGGACAAGAGGATGAATGATCAAACCCAAAAGAAAATCCTTGTTTCCTGTTTGTTCACACATAAATAACGACTGAAAAGGTATTGAATGGTGGGACGTGAACAGCTCCCAGACATTCCTCAAGTAATTCCAGCTTGCAGCTTGAACTTTTGCATCAGCCCTAACCAAGCCCAGTGTACCCAGAATAAAAGCTACAGGCCACAAATCAATTTTCTCGTAGCAAGTTGCTTTGCAGGGCATTATGGGTTTCCAGATGACTGGAGACAAGGAGTTAGTCAGAAGCTGTTTTAATGCAGATGAGGTGGGAAAGTTGTTGATTTTTTCTGTTTGTCAATTTGCCACAAGACTGACAAAATATGTGATATACTGGTGGGTCAGGAAGTTCATTCATTACTTGTTGTAGGTACATGTCCACCGGGGAGAAGATAATTATTATACTGTGTTTATTTCATGCCCAAACATCCAACTAGGCCAACTCATACAGAATTGATGTTAATTAGCTGCAGCTGACTTAGTCGTCATTTATGGCTGGTAAAATCAATGGCAGTATAGCTGATTAATTTCACCTTGGACAGCTCATTAATACACTCTTATAATTAATGATATTCTGTGCATATGGCTTTGCCTTTAGAAGCTCGCACTATGAAAACTCATGTGACAGTCTCTTCTCTGCTAACAACAATTATTTCAAAACTACACTCACACATGCCCACAGCAGACTACAATACACAACTAATGCTTAAAAAATAAGTGTGCTGGCTGCTTCTGTCTCTATTACAGGCACGGTTGCTTAATTTCTTCCACCACTGGCTCTACCTCAGCTGTATTAAAGGGGCTAAAGGTTGATTTGGACCATGCTGGATCAGTAAATACTAGGGGTGGGTTTTAATAATCGATTCATCGATTAAAATCGATTCTGGCTTGGATAACGTGATATCGATTCATTAAAATCCTGAATCGATTTTTTTATATAAATGTATTTTGCCCAAAATTCCAGAATCTCAGGTGAAACGTCACAAAATTTCAACAACCACCAAACATTTAAAACAGTAAATGAGAGCAGGAACATGGCTTCTGCACAAAGATGTAAACACAAAGCGCGGACCCGCGGATCAGAATCAGCGAGATGTCACCTTTCTCACCTCACGGCACGGACACGGTCGGGGCTGAAAGCCGACAGCTCGCTGATTCTGATGTTTCGGCGGGTCCACGCTTTGTGTTTACGCCCTTTTTGCGCTGATTCTAAAGCTGTTAGTTTTATCTCTCTCCAAACAATATTGACTGAACCAGCAGCAAAAGAAGATCCAAACTAAGCTTCACATAAACATCATCATGGACTCCCTCTTACTTTTGCTGTTTGCTTCCACCACGATAAAAATCACACTTCATGCACAGCTCTCTCTCTCTCTCTCTGTACTTCAAGAACAGTTTCCCGTCTATCCCCAAAATCTGTTTTCTGCATTATTCGCTTGCTTGTTACGCACAAGTCTACCGTTATCAGCTTCCTTTTTATAGATACAAAAATATGTCAATGTACTGATCTGAATTATAATATTTCTGACTGTCTGAGGCAAAATTTCCCAGATTCAAATCGAATTGAATCGAATCGTGGATCAAATCGATTCAGGACCTTGTGAATCGATATCGAATCGATTCTCGAAATCAGTGACGATACCCAGCCCTAGTAAATACCTTCTCTTGCTCTCTTTTTTTTTTTACTGCGATGTGCAATAGCTTTCTTTGAAAACTACTCCCAATACATCTTCCAATACAATCGTTACACTGAGATTTTAATTTAAAAAAACACCACTGACAGTATTTTATTAGTGATCTGCAATGATATGATGAAGTTGTGCATGCATAAAATAGAGCACATAAGTCAGTTACTACATGCAGAAGGCCAGGGGTTTTCTTTTCTAACTGTAACATTCGTAATTTGTTAAAAGAAGTTTTGTAAACTGTATTTTTTGTTTGTTTGTTTTTGTATAGTACATACTACATGTTTCACACATCACCGAGATGTAGTGAAGATACCAACTCTGCATCTGTGGCATTGCTCAGTTTAGTAGATATGTTTGCAGTATAGCTGTTTGGGGTGTATTTCTTTACTGTGACATCACTGAAAGCACAGAGGTAATTCCCTCCTGAGTGGCAAAGACAAAATAACCAGCGTCATTCGCAAACACTACTAAAATTGGAAAGTCCTGCCTGTGAAATCGACTGCACAAATATCCATCCATCCATTCTCTTAACCACTTATCCAATTCAGAGTCACAGGAGGGTATCCCAACTGACAGTGCGCAAGAGGTGGGGTACACCCCGAACAGGTTAACAGTCCATCGCAGGGCTAGCACGTAGAGAGAGACAACCACATGCTCTCACATCCACACCTACAGCCAATTTAGAACCAGTTACCTTAACAAGGTTAGGTTAGGATCGTGGCTCAAACATGGAACCTTCTTCATATAATGGTGGAAATGGTGGTGCACATTATCACCTAACTTCATCAGAGTTCCTGGTTCAAATCCTGGCTGGGGCCTTTTGGTGTGGAGTTTGCGTATTCTCCTTTTGCATAGATGAGTAATCTCCAGCTGCTCCAGCTTCTCCCAGTCAGACAAAGTGGTGATTTTACATTTTTCATGGATGTGAGGCAGTTAATTGCCTTAAATCAAGCGGTCTACGCATGGTTAAATGGCTTGTAGTCTAAACTGCTTTGAGTGGTCAGTAAGACTAGAAAGCACTGTACAAATACCAGTCCACTTCCACTACACCTGTGGAAATGCGCTGTGGACTTTACACATCAAACGACTTGCTGTATAGAATTTCTAGAAGCAGCCACCCAATAGCAGGAATCAGCCACCATAACAAGCGACTTCTTATGTAGCCATCAAAGGGAGTATATCCAGTCTTGACTTCCTAATAAAATTAAACCTAAATGTTGTTTAATTTCAGTTGTGACATAAAACATAGAATTTTTTTCTTCAGAAGCATGAAATAATTTTAGACAGCTGCATTCACTTCTATTCATTTAAGACGATCTTCTAGGTAACCTACAAACAATTTCAGTACAATGCCACAAATAAGATTAAATGAAATATTACCCAAATTAATGCTGCTTCATAAATTACCAGGGGGCATCAGCTGAGATGAGATCTGGTGATTCAGAAGGTCGCACCATGTGACTCATATGATTTATTTAAATTCATACTAAATCATTAAACGACTTCCCCCCTTCTCTCTGTGGTAGACAAGTAATTATGTCTCAAGCAATGCTGGATTCCCAAGTTCAGGATAATTTTTTGAAAACTTGCCTTTCTGATTATTTAGCTTTCAGCTCATACACACAAATCGGTCAACGAATTCAATATCAGAGCAACTCTAGCAGTCGTACACACAATCAGGTGCTTCAGGGTCAAAGTTCACGACTTTATAATCTCTCAGTTTCACGTGCAGAAGCAACTCGAATATGGCGGGTTTCACATGTGTGCCGACACTTTCAAGCAAAGTTGCAAAAATAAAACTGGACTGATAAGGAGAAGGCAGCGAACGCTCTTAAAGTTTGGCATATTTACGAGGCGTATTTAAAGGCAGCACAGGCCGTCGGCTGTTTAGAGAACTTTCCGGGCTCATAGACGGGATGATGGTGCTGTAGCTTCACTCTGTTGGCTATAAGTACACAACAGAGACTTTTAGTATGAAGAGTAGTCTTAGTTTCTCTTCGGAAAAAAAGAAAGGGAAAAAAAGTCATCTGTTGAGGTTGAACCTCCAGCTTCCCTCCTCCCCCCCCCCGCTCTGGTTTAACTCCTCACTCCCCCTAGCGGCGGAGCTCCCAGCCGAAGAGCGTCACAGTGCCGGTGTCGGTCCCCACAGTCGGAGTGAAAGTTGTCTCCGCTCGGAAAAGCGGGGGTTCGGGACTCGCCAGTTCGCACCGCCGTAGATTCACGCGCTTACTCCCGGAGAGATGAGGCGGAAAGAGAAGAGGCTGCTGCAGTTCGCTGGGCTGCTCATAGCGGCTCTTCTTTTTCTCCCAAATGTCGGGTTGTGGTCTTTGTACAAGGACAGAGTCTTCGACAACTCGCCCGACTCAGTGGACGGTCCGGGCGGCATCCCCCAGATACAGGTAAGGGAGGCTCGGCCGTAGCGGCTTCTGTCGCCGTGTGACCGCGGTGGAGGTGTCCGCGAGAAACACTTCAAATGGGAGTTTGTTCGCACTGAGGAGGCGCAGATTCCGCGGAGTACACACTCCACAGTGCCCCTGTTCTCGCTTCGGAAGGTTTAACCCCGATATATCAAGCTTTTAGCTGCATTCCCATGCTGTGCGTGCGTGTGTGTAACATGACTTGCCAAGATGGACTGTGTTTTAGCGCTGTCTTAGCAGTGGGAAGACAGCGGTTAGAGCGACTAGGATGAACGGGAAGCCACGTAGCTAACCCCGACCTGAGCGTGGCAGTAAACTTACAATAACACAGACTTCAGGAAGTTGTCAAAAAATGTGAAGCTCGCCGTGCTGCGTTCACAGGGTGACAGACGTCAGATCGCGGTTAAAAAGTGCAGGGAAGGATTACTTTCACGTGATCGTTCCTTTGTATCCAGACTCTGTTCTTTATCACCTACAATGTATCGCTTTATTTAAAGAATATGAAAAGAACCACCTATGTGTAGGCCTACATAAACGCATGTAGCAAAACGAGGCTCTACAGTCTGCTGGCTAGTTTCAACACAGACGCCCAACCTCTTTCCCCCCCACAGCTCAAGGTATCAGCTTCAAACTGCGTGTACTGCCCAAGTAAGCGAATGACAACCAAAGATGTTCAAATCAGAGTGACATAAACCGTGAAACACTCCCGGGCTTGTCATACTGGGAAGCAGATACGTGGTGGCGGTGTTGTGAATCCATTTTTGAGCGCTCTGTAGAGAAATTGTGCCACAATTTGCAAAATGTTACTCATTGCAGAGCTTCTGCAAGTTCTTGTTTGACAAGATTTTCATGGGCAGCCACTCATGAGAAATAAATGAACATCCTTACAGGCTCTCCGGTCAGAAAGTAGTAGACAGCTTTCTAGCTCTGTGAAACTTCACATTTTGCCTAAACACAGTTTTTCCCTCAATGCTTTCACATTATGTGTATTATGTGTTCAGTGCGTAGGTTCTCATTGGGCCTTCATCTTAAGGTGATGTTGAAGCAGCTGATAAAGTTGGACTGAGATATTTAGCAGTAGCTGCTATGGTTAGCATCAGCTAAAGTATGAGTAGGAATGTTAGACGCCTGCATGTGTGTAAAAAGAACTTTGCGTTGTTATATCGCAGCATTGTATTTGCTGACACAACCCTTTTTTTGTGCAGTGAGTCATTTCTGTTACATGAAACTGACTGAACCTGATGGGTCACATTTAGAATAGAATAGGACAATAGCTTTTAGTTGTCATTGTACATGTACAACAAAATTGTAGGTGCTTCCTGTGTCTTTGCAGTAGCCTACATAAATGTAGTGTGATGGCACACACCCACATATAGCACTGCTTGAGTGCCATGCCATATAGTAGCTTGTTATGCCCCTCTGCGGCTGCACTGCCAGAGACTTTAGGTGTTGTCTGGGTCTAATTGCTGATTGTCTAGCTGGAAAAGCTAACCTCAGGCAGGTCTTTAAACACACCTCGTCAGCTGACACAAAGGCGTGTCTGAGGTTAGCTTGGAGGAGTTGGCACTACTTCTAATCACCGTGCTTTTTTTTTTTTTTTTCTTAAAAAAAAAAAGCTTAGGTTATTACTTAATTTAAAATAAAAGCCAATATTTCATCAAACTCTGTCAGTTTCCACTTTATGTTGCAACTTTGAGCTGTGTTGTAACTGTATCTTTGATTCCTTTGCTCTAAGAGACTATGAGAATTAAACCAACACATTGGTTGTGCAGGCATGCAGTCGTAAAAGACAAGACGCACAGCTCAGGGGGGATGCTCTGGATGCTACGCATTGGTCACATGCTAATTGGCACCTACAGACTAACAATGCACAGCTGTGTGGGGTGCTTCTTGAACATCACTCATCCAGCGTGTGTGGAGACGTTGCTGGGTACTCTGGCTGCCCAGAAAGACGACAAATGAAAGACTGCCAGAATATTCCTAGTGGAGCTCATGCTCAATAACTTGGATATAGATTTCTGAAAGTAATTATTTGGCTTGTATGGAACACCAAACTAGTGTTACATGATATTTGAGATTTTCTCTTACATTGTGCATTTGTATCCTAATGTTGTATGGGTAATGTTGTAAATTTGTAACCACACCCTGAAGGTTCAGCAGCTAACAATGACTAATGATATATTATGATGTACTTGGTTTGAAAAGTGCACTAAACTGGCAACCTGTAGAAGCCAAAATAAAAATCTGTTGACAGATGCCTCCACTTTCAGCCTGTAAATGAACATACAGGTGGGGATAACATGACATTGAATTTGTCTTAACAGCCAACAGAATGTTTCTGCAGTAGGGTAGAAGAGTAAAAAGCTTTTGGAAATAATGTCATCAGATTCAGTTAGCATGGGCTGACATAAGTTAAAAAGGAATGAACAAGTGAGAGGCCCAAGCTGATGCTGGGTAAGTTATGTTGGTCCACTTTCCTTTTTTTCCCCCAAGAAAATGAAAGGGCCCAACAAATCAGACCACATTTGGTAGACAATGGCAGCTTCTCTAATTCAAATGAGCCAAAATCTGCTGAATAGAGGCTTTCATGGATGTACGGGCTTGCATGTGTGTTAGTGTGAACTTTGTGGTGGTTGCCGATTGCCAGTTGCCCAGTCTAGCAAACTTGGCTGGAGTGGAGAGGACAGAGAAAAGGCAGCTTTGGTGCATCAGTTAGAACTTCTTTCATATCTCTGAATTAATCAAACCACTTTGCTATTTAGCCCGCAGATGTTAATAAATGCCCCCTCAGAAGTCCACAGTGGTGTCTTCTGTGTCTTGTTGTTATCTGTGAATAACATTGCATTGTGGGAATGATAAAGCCAGCCTATTCTGCACAGATCTCTACGGATTACTTTCCCCCGCTCAAGTTTGTATTTGATATCTTAAATGACAAAGAAATGTTTTGAATGGGGATTAAAGGACATCCGCAAGGCAGGGAAAGCCTGTTACATATTAGCAAGCTGTGTGATAACAGCTGTCAGCCGCCACAGCGGTTTGATAAGGGAGTAGACGGCCTGATCTGAAGAATGAAGCCAACTTATACCATTAATAGAAGAGCATTTAATGGCACAAGAATGCTGCAAGTCATTTAACAAGTTCCGTCTTTAACAAAGACGCCAACTCAACTTTTTCGATGTGGCACCTTCAGTGTAGATGGACATGTTCATCCATGGCACTCTGCTAATATAATTCTGTCTGCATCAGGTGCACGTAGTGTAAGCTGTAATCATGTGCCCGTGCATATGGTCTCTGAATGAGTAGTCCACACTGCTCCAGAAAACACAAGCTGGCTTAGCTCTTCCCCACCGTGACAGTGACAGAAAGGTAATTTGCACAATCCTGGCTCATATTAAGGACTGGTGTTGAAGCAGAGGTGGCTCAGCTTCCTCCTGCCTGCTCCAGCAGTTCAGGTTAAGTGGAGGTTAGAGAAGATGAGAAGAGAGGGTGGAATTAAAAAAAAAAAAAAAAAAGAGGCTGTGTGGTCTGACCTGCTGCCGGTTGTGCTGAGCAGCTAACTGATTGCATGAGTGGACTGGCTGATAAAAGCATTTATGCTAACTTGCTAAAGCTTTTAATTGTTCTTACACAGTGTTTTGGTATTTTGCTAAAAATGTTTCTTCATAAGCAGAGTTTTGGTCAGGGCTTAACTTCCTCATCAGGAGTGACATCATTGACCTTTCGAACTTAAATACTATTCTTAATGGTCTTGAATATTTTTAAAGCTATTCAAATCAAGTTGCCTGATTTTTTTTTTTTTTTTTTTTTTTTTTTAAACATTAATCTCATTTGTAAAGGGGGCCTTTAATGCTCATTTTCAGAACATACTTTTATCCCCCTTTGGCAGGCAGCACTGTGGGCATCCAAGTTTGTGAATACTAACTCGAATGGAGCCACGTAGGAATATTCAAATTGACACCATAGATTTATCCACTAAAAATCTCAGATGAGTTTGAATATGAGTGCCCTTGAGGTCAGGTTTTCTGAGAGTCTTGCCATAACCAAAGAAGGAAGTGACCTAGGATTTTGAAATTGATACCATAGGTGTATCAACTTGAAATGTTGGATGAGATCAAATCTCGGTGATTTTGACTGTAAGGTCAAGTTTTATGAAGATCTCATGAACATGATTACTCAAACGATGCAACTTAGAATTTAGAAATTGATTATCATAGATGCATCAACTTGGAGGCTAAGGGGTAGCCACTATTTTTATCTTTACAGTAGCTTTACTGAAATAGCTTCACATCATTGTGTGGACAAAATAATCTGTATACTCAGGCTTGGTGTAGGCCTTCAGGTCACCCTCTGTCTGTAAGTTCTGCTCTCCTTCTAAGGCTAGTTTTCCTTTAGCTCGGCTTTCTTCTGATTGGCTTCTGCTAGCTCTGTGCTTGCAGCCAGAGTTGAGTGCCTGAGATGACCAACGTTATTGTCATCATGCTGAGCTGAGATTAGGAAAAAATGTGTAAAGTGATGCATTTAGAGCAGTCTGAATCCTGAGCTTTTGGCTGCGGCCAGCATGATTATGAATCTGAATAAAAGGTCATTTTAAATGAACAATCTCCAAATGTCACCGCTTATAGTTTGAGCAAAAACCAAACACAGGGGACAGCTGTACAGCATCTAGCCTTTATTGGTAAACGTGAGTTGGGGCGATGTGCAAGTGTAAGGCAGGTCTTACAAGTCTATCACAGGGTTAAAAGAGAGAGACGGAGACCAATTCACACCCACTTAACATGTATCTCTGTGGATTGTGGGACAGAGCCGGAGTACCTGGAGAGAACCCACTCGGGCACAGGGAGCACACACAGGAAGCCGTCAGCTTTATGACAGGTTCAGACTCTGCTGTGAGGCAACGCTCCTATTCACTGCACCAACGTGCCGCCCACAATTTTTCAGAAAACCGCTGATGATCATTTTATGACTGGGGCTGCTGCTACCAG